GCCACTGAAACTCTGTACAGCGTTCACACAGCTTAGCTGCTAAACGCTCGACTGAGTCATTCTGTCGCAATTCACCGAATGTATCCCTTCTTATTTTAAAGCGAGTTGACCATGTGTAAAATTAGTAGTCATAAGTAACATTAGTTTTTGAGTTAAAAGCTCTTAAAGAAGGGTGGGATCATGTCGATTTTTGCACCGTTTTCTTCACGCCAATCTGTGGAGCACGTACCATAATTTGAGAAATAACGTAGCGAGAAACAAATCAATAAGATCCCACCCCTCTTTAGGAATTTTCAACTCAAAACCTGATGTTAGCTATGACCCCAGATCTTACACGTTTTCCCTAACGGCCTAAATATGCACAGAAAATCAGATAAATATAAGACGGTCAGTTGTGAACTTTTTATTTTTTAGTATTTGGTGAATTGAGGTCGAATGACTCCCCAGCGTTCACCAGCAGTCTAACTGTGTCTGAGTTCCAGTGACTTTTAGAGGGTTTTGTTCTGCTGAAAACAGCTGAGAACTGTATGAAAGCAGTAAGAGCGAAGCAAACAGTAAAGCTGGAGGTCAGACAGCTGAACAAAGCTGAGCGAAGCAGCAGATCCAGGAGACTATTCTCTGTGAGTTCATCAGTACCAATGAGCCTTTTCACTGCGATACGTTCTGTTTGTCATTTGATACGTCGCGATTAAGCTGCTTTACGACGAGCTACCACAGGCTGATTAAATAATGAAGCACAAGATTAGCAGCACAGCAACGATTTCTCTCATGTTGACACTGACCTTCCTCCAGAGAAGAAGATCTCCACATTCTTCTCCTCCTCCATTTGGTTTTGGTCCTCTTCAGGTTTCTTATGATCCTGCTCTTCTTCCTCTGCTGCGTGTACCTGTTGTTCCTCCACTTTCTGGTGCGGTTCATCCACCTGTTCATTGTGTTGTTTTTCATCTTTCTGTTGCTGCTTATCTTCCTCCAGTTGCTCATCTTTCTGTAGTTGCTCATCTTCCTGTAGTTGCTCATCTTTCTGTAGTTGCTCATCTTTCTGTAGTTGCTCATCCTTTTGTAGTTGCTCATCTTCCTGTAGTTGCTTATCCTTCTGTTGCTGCTCATCTTTCTGTTGCTGCTCATCTTTCTGTAGTTGCTCATCTTTCTGTTGCTGCTTATGTTCCTCTAGTTGCTCATCTTCCTCTAGTTTCTCATCCTTCTGTTGTTGCTCATCCTCCTCCTCATCTTCATCAAGATCAGAGCAGTTGAGAAAGTCGAAACTTTCGAGGGCCGTCTCGACTTCTTGAGTGAAACTAGAAGAAGTAGGAAAAGGAACCTGAGGAAAAAAACAAAACCGGGTGTTAAAATATTACTGTCAATACTGTAGACTTCACAGACACAACAGACTGTATCCAAAAGATGGATGTAGTAACTGTGGCATCACTTTTGAAGCCTCGAGTTTGGCACTTTGGCCATCACCGTACGACAGCTACCTGTCAATCACATATAAGCCACGCCCTACACCATTCTCTTTATCGATGTGACTGTAATTTACAAAATCAACACCATGCTGCACTGAAAGAGACATGAAACTAGCAACTGAGACCATAAACAGACCATAAACTCAGTAAGAAAATGTTTGATGAGGCAGAAGAAGGCTTGTTTTCTCACAGACTTCTCCCCTGCTGGCCATTAGATGGACTGCAGGTTTAAATCACAGCTCAGTACTGGCTTCATTTTTCAGACTTGAAAGCTACGTCCATCTTTTATATACAGTCTGTGACAAAAACACACATAATAAACTTGTTCTTGATCTCACCGTTGGAGCGTTCTCTGGTTGCTTTAGCTCCTGGACGGACTGAGGTGGTGGACTTTGTTCTACTCGGTGTCCATCTACTGCTTTCGCTGTGTTGTTTTCTATTTCTGCTTCAGTCTGTTCAGTCTTTACTGACGAATCCTCAGATGGATGATCCTTCGCCACCTCTGCGCTCTCCACCGACAACGCGGGAGGTACAGCGGAGACGTCGGGGCACGAGCTGCTCCCGTCTGCTGAGGTTTCTGACAGGTCCTCTGACTGGACAGATGCTCTGTCAGTCGCGGTACAGTCTGGGCTGCTCCCTCCGACGAGGCCGGGAGAGCAGGAAGTCTGCAGATGGCCGTTAGGCACTGTGTCTGTCTGAGAGAAGACCTCGCCGGCTTCTGTCTCGTCCTCCTCTTGGTTGGATGAGAGCGACGGCGTCGACGCGCTGGACTTGTGCGGCGTGAACGACAGCTGAGTGGTGAGAGTGGTTTGCAGCATGTTGGAGGCCGTTAGCCTCTGAGTGTGATGAGCCAGAGCCGGACTGGAGGAGTCATCGGAGGATTCAGAGGAGTTGGACCAAACCGTCCCGTTCTCCATTTCACCCTGACGCTTCAGCAGAGACTAGAAAGGAAACGAGATGGGAGGCAACGGATGAGAATAAGGGCACAAACAAATGTATCAGTCTTACCTCCACATACAGCAGGATGCTTTGTAAACACGTTGGTTATCGAATTACATCCAGAGAAGCGATATGCAGCTGACAAGCTAATCAATCCAGCAGTAGATGCATTAGAGGGGGGATTAGCCTGTGCATTAGCATCCAAAACAGAAGCCAGCGAGAAAGTTACGACTGATTCAAACAGTAAAATGAAATATGAAGTGCAGGGAGTGACAGATTTTTGGCAGCTAAAAAAGAAAAACAGGTGAGACTCAACTCATGAGTTATTCTGCTGCAGGGTTTAATATCAAACAAGTAGCGAGGCCACGTACCATTCATGTCTGAGGATTCAACTCATTGATGTTATTTTAGTTAATTTAGGCTCATTTGTTGCTAATTACTCAACAGTGTAAATCTGTTGAAACTAACCTTAAGAGACATGAGGGACATGAAGCCTGTCTTTCTGCTTCAGAACGGGGAATGACGGGAAGAATTTAGGAAGTAAATCAAGCTGACATTGTAATTTTACGATAATATTACTATTTAATATTTCTATTTATGTGAGTCTATTATGTTTTTATATATACCTTTATTTCAAACAGCAAATACTGGATGCTTGAAGCTTCACACAGATTTTTATACATGTTGCATCCAAATGTTGTGATTTGTGTTTTGTTTCTTTTAGGCACCAAACATGTGTTTTATTGATTCATAAGAAAAACTATAATCACCAAATTAAAAAAAATAAAAGATTGAAATAAAACATTATCCAGATTTTTCTATTAAGATTTGATTAGAAATTAAAAAACACAATTTACTAAATCTACCAAATGTTTTTAGAGCACAGACCTGCTGCCATATGTTGATTACTTTTGGTTAATAAATGATCATTTTTCTCCAAAGCTTGGTCACAATAAACTAAACTACAGCTACAACTACGTCCCAACACACCGGCTGTGCTGAGGTGAACCGGGGTGTCGTACAGCTGAATTCACAACGCAAGGACGTCACCCTGCCCGCCACCACACCGTGGAAAGCCTCCGCCATCGAGCGGTTCTGCCGGGACCCACCGCGAGGCACGCTCTTCATCGAGGTGAGGAAGAGGAGGGACATATTGGAGCACTACTCAACCACGATTAAACAGCTACAAGGACCACAGCTGCGTTCATACATGCTGCTGCTGTCACACAACCCGCTACTGCTGTCGGCCATTCTGCGGGCATCAGGCACGCCACTCCCACAACCACACGTCCTCGCACACAACCCTCTGCGAATATCCTCACACACATCAGTGCTACCGCTACACACAAAGCAGTTGGGGAGCAGCTGAAATAGAACAAGCCGGTGAAATGACAGTAATAATAGCCATCAGTAATACAGACACACATAGGTGTATATATATGCAGTAAGAACAAAGAGTGCACGACTGCTGCAAACCCTTTATATAAATTATGAGGCGAGAAAGTGTGACAGAGTTGGTGTTAGTGGGAAAAGCTGAGGCTGAGCATCTCTTATAATGTGACTCACATAAAACACCTGCTCTCGCATCGAGGGCGTGTCAGGAGGGCTCTGATTGGACAGCAGCCGTTTAGAAACCGTGCTGGTGGAGCAAGTCTGGTCATCCTTGTCAAACGGACTGAAAAAGAGAAAGAAAAACAGGACAAAGAGTGAGAAACAGGGCAAAAAGGGCAAATAAAAGATGTCATAAGAGGCGTGTGCTGCAGGTTTAAGCACCTCCAGGTGACCTCCAGGTTCAGCTTCACCGTCCCGAGGTCGTTGATATCCACGGCGAGCGTCTGGGGGAGGGGGCAGAACAGATCGAGCATCTCGCAGGACACACTGCCCACCACCACGTGATTGGCCAGGCTCTTCAGCTCCGTCACCTTGACAACCAAAAACAAGCAAACCTCGATGAGATGACGACACGCGGAGACCACAGATATTCAACCAGCGCAGCGAATATCTGCAGCCTCCGACCACAGGCACAATGAGGAGCAGTTCACTGAGCTCACATGATAAGGCTGCGGTAATAAGATATGTTTTCTTAATGGCAACAGATACCGTAAAACACACAAACTAATAATAAACTCATCCAGCCAACAAGTTCTTTGTGTGTCGCTAATGGCTGATATAGGGTCCTCCTCTGTGCCATAGACTGTTAAAAACAAAGAAGTCACGACACAGACATGCTCCTTCATCACAATGAACATGATAGTTTAGACAGTAGTTGGCAAACACACAGCGTCCTGCTCCTGCGTCACAAAAGCAACAAGTGAGTATTAATTTACTGGTAAAAATAGCGTCTGAAAATGACTTCCTCCTACTTAACCATTAATTTTACGAACTGAAACTACATATTAGTGACCTGTTTTTAGAGATTCACATCTTCAAATATTACCAAGTACAAAGTAGTGGGAATTCCTGAAGGAGGAACTAACGTGTTAGTAGTTCAAGTCCTTCCACAAGGTTTCAATGACATCATCTTCTGAAACCCGGTTTAATTACCTTGATTGACAGCAGCTCTGTGACTAGAGGCAGGAAAACATATTCCTCGCTGTCCCACATCTGCTTGTTGCTGACTTCTACGCGGCCTCGTAGCCTCCAGCGCTGCCGCCCGTAGCGCATGAGGACCTGTCAGGGCCACAAATAGCCGACGTGATAATGCAGACACGGAGGCACAAATAAGAATGTGCTCGTGTTTGCGCACCTTACCTCATACTGGTCACCAGCACACAGCCGTGCAAACCCGGCGAGGCCTGAAACATCGGAAATCCACAGAGAAATGAGAACTGGACGAACAGAGACCAGAGCGAACGGGAAGTTATGAGCTCGAGAAATGACTCACCCTTCATCTTGACATGAAATTCTCCCATTTGGCTTTCTATTTCACTCTCAAGTGAGCACATGTGCTGCAGAGACAAAAGCAGTGACAGGTTTAAATGGCGAACCATTTTCTGTTACATTAGGAACTGAAACAACGAGTCGCTTTGAACACATAAACCCACGGGCTGGTTGGAGGTTTTTTAGAGCCAGAACTTGTGAACTTCTCATCTGTGATTTGTTGTTTCATCAGGAAACTGAACCAAAGCTCGGAATTGTGATATTTCATCAAAATCTCCTTTTTCTAAATCTCACTTTTAAAAAAATGCCAAAAATCAACACTTAGTTCTAGCCAGGTTCTGGAAAAAAATACAAATTCTGTCTTTGCTGGAGCAACCGTGGAGCCATTAGTGACACCGCTGAGATCAACAGTCATGTGACAAAAATTCAGACACTTTCTGGCTGAACTGCAGGCTGTGTTCATACAGGAGAAGGACGGAAACAAATTAAAAACCACAAACACTAAAATATCTACAGTATATAGAGTCAGCTTTGTGTCAGTATTGGCAACAACTTTAGGCACAAATGTTGTACGTGTTGAGTTTTATTTATTTGTTGTAAAATAACTAATAAAAGATATTTAACTTTTGTTTTTTTCTCTGTAACTCTAGTGATGGTTGTGCTGTTTTCAAGGAGGTGCTCGACTTTATATTAAACATTAGCCCACAGTGAGTAAATACGTAGAAGAAGCAACATATGCCCAGAAACTGCTTCAGGTTTGATCAATTAGTGCAGCAGAAGTTTCACCAGTAATTATTTTGATAACTGAACGATTGCATGACAAATTTATGAAGCAAAAATGTAGCTTTTAGCTCCTGTTGTGATGATATTTTGCTATTTTTTGCTTCTTTTAGTTTTGGTTCAGCAGCCTAAATTCCACGACAACGTACATGTTTTCTTGTCTATTTTTGGCAAAAGGCTTCAAAACAAAGTTCACCCAGTGTTCATGTGGACACCTACCTCTGTGCATTCCCTGTAACCCTTGTTGGCTTCGCTCAGACTCTCTCTGGCCTCCCTGCTGCCGGTGGCGGAGTTAAACGCTGCCACCATCTTGCTCGCTCCATCACGCAGTCGCCGCTGTATACAATAAGCATCGTACAGCTCCTCAAGCTGCAACATCAAATGTCACAAAGTTAGTAACAAATGGATGTCATCGAATATTAGATTACTTTAGATTAGATTTGATAGAACTTCACTGATCCCTTTGGTGGGGTACCTCAGGGAAATTGTTCTACTTATTTATGTAATAATTAAAGCAGGAGTCATTGTTTTTTTTCTCAGCAGCACATTTCTTTTAGATTCAAGAGACAAAAAGCAACATTAACAATCATATGGAGGTGTGTTTGTGTTCCTCTAATGAATATTCATCGTCCTGTTAGCTCTGCTTTGGTCTCCACCAACTACAGAGAAAAATATCCTCTCATGCTTCACTGTGTTCACCGGCCAATCACAGCTTTAGTTTTATTCTGATGAGGAAGTGATGCAAAGTGGATTCATCAGAGCTTCATGAACAGCTGCTGAGTGTGAAAAAGGATAATAAAGATGCACAAAAAGCTCCATAAAGGGAAGAGAAACTACAGAGGTGGCTGATAAATCTCTATTTATCTTTGAAATGACATTTAGTCCCTTGATTCGTAGTTAACATCAAAATCACGCAGCTCATTCATTCCTCTGCCTCGTCAGTCGGTCCCATGTTTACATACACACCTTGCTGAGGTGGAAATCCAAGCGACGCATGAACCTCTCTATGGCTTTCACTTGCTACAACAAAGGAAACAATCATTAAAAATCACACGCTGCTACAGAAAAGTCTCTCCTTCACCCACACACAGTTTCAGGACACGGTGCTCGGATCAATACGCAACAGGTGTGAATGAAACTCACCTTATCTAACTCATACAAAGACCCCTGCAAAGACAAGGAAACGGTTAGTCCCACAAGGCATCAAATCAACATCCAGCCAGTCTGATACTGGTGTGACTGGTTTGACAGCAGGAGCTCTCACCAAGCGACCGTTCCTCTTGTTCTCTCTGATCTGCTGACCCAGACTGTCCAGCTCCAGCTGGTGGACCTGCAGGTACGACCTGACAACAGGAAAAACACCGTCTTTACTTCCGCGTGACGGAAAAGCAGCCGTTTTCCTGCGTTGCTAGCGATGTTTCACCTGGCAGCCCTCCACCGGAATCAATGCAAACAGAGCCTGAGATGTGTTTACTCACTGTAAGCCTCTGCGTAAGGCCGCGTACACTTCATCCAGCCGCTCGGGCTGGGGGGTTTTAGTGGGTGGCAGTTTGGTGGAGCCTGTGAACATCCTGCTTCCTTACAAGGCACGTTTCTCTTGGATCAAACAGTGCTGAGGGAGGGAGAGGAAGACACAGAGATAGAGCAGGGGATCATTCCTCACAAGGCCTTCAACAGTATTTCAATTAAAGCCTGCTCAGAGGGAAACTGGCCGGGCAGTGAGAGTGCTGCTGCTCACCTGCTGGAGATATTATCACTGCTGTGGCATGCTTGGAGAGCGTAGCACTGTGGCTTTAACAAACTGAAGGACATGTCCTGTAATTAGACAAAAATGGAGACGTCAGAAACAAAAACGTACCTGACGGGGGTTTCGCTGCTCTGTGATTATCAAGCTTTCTGATAATTACGGAAGCCACTGGAGAGAAAACCGAGGAGAAAGAGAGAGAGAGAAAAAAAAAAGAGGATACAATCCACTCTTTCACTTCCTTGCTTGGCTTTGTTGGACGTCTGAGACATGCTCGCAGCAACCACAGTGGCCACCACTGACAACAGTAGGGAGTACAGCCTGCCTGTGCCTCTCTTCCCCTTCCTTCCCTCCCTGCCTCCCCCCCCTCCACATCCAGCACCAGAGCACAGGAAGTCTCATGGCCGACTCTACACAGGAAATTCTACACAGAAGTTTGGCCCAAGAATATAAAACCATCCCTCCACTGTGTGCGAGGGTGTAAAAATTGACCCCTTTTTTTCCTTACTTCCCAAGCGAAGCCGGGGCAGATTAGTGATGCTACAGTCGGGGGGGAAACTATAGGAAGAGAGGGTCGTGGCTGAGCTAATCTAGTCACAAAAGAGATTACGGACTTAAACTAAACTAAATCTGTCAAGCAGGAGCCTAACCCTTATTAACACATGGGATCTGTGAATGGGGCAGCAACTGGTGGCATCTGCTCTGCATCGTCTGACACCGAACTCGCAAACAGCAGAGAAATCTGTATTATTCTAACAGATGGGATCAAGCGTTTCGCCTGCTGGAGCCGCTCGGATGGAAAAGAAAACAGGCAGATTATAGTTTTACGTGATCAAAGCCTTATTAGAAAACATCGGTGCTGATATGAGATTAAGCTGCACACACACACCCTGCTGTCTTTCTGCTGCACGGTGAGCAGGACTCGAGTCTCAGGGTGCACCGGGTCAGGGGTCCGGTTAAAGCCCTGAATCTGACCTGCTGGGATTTACTGATCAAGGTTAGAACATGGCAAAGAAAATATGCTTTTTATGCATAAACCCCTCCATCACCACCACCAACGACCACCTTTTCTGCCAAACATGAAGCAGGATTATAAAAGTGCAAAGTCATCATGAGAACACACATAAAAAAAAACAAAAAGACCCCCAATCTCACACACTCCCACTCGGGCAGCTATACATCGAGCCCACGCACAGGCTTTCGGTGATATAGATAATTACAAGAGGGCCGGTTTCCTCTCCGTCTGATGTGCTTTTATCCCTTTCCTTACATTAGAGATCATTAGCTGGATTAATCCTCTGTGTGGAGCAGCGGGAACAAAGAGGACACTGTTCCCAAACACCTCACAAGACTGGAGTTTTGTTTAAAAAAAAAAAAACCCTTTCATGCAGTCACTGCACGCACGATATATGGCCGTGTTCAGGAAGTCTTTGGGCTCAAAACAACAACAACAACCTCAGGATCATTTGGGGAAAAACAGCACAGACCTGCAGATAATTATTATTTATTGCAAGCTGGTTAGTCTCTTATCTAAATATGAGTTAAATAGAGGCCTTTCAATGACACTGATCAGATAAAACAGTGAAGAAGACATATTTGGGGGGGGATTTGTGGTGTTTCTTTACTTGATTAATGAGCAAAATCATGAATCAATGATCAATATCTGCCCACTGAGAGGACTAGAAGCTGTAAGGCAAAGTAAATAGACATGATAAGTCACCACAGCCAGAAGCAACTGGTTTAAAGTGAACAACAAAACAACTTGAGTGGATTTTAACACAGAAAAAAAGCTGAAATGTCTCCTTTAACTTTAAGGTGATGAAATGAAGTGATGATGTCAACATTAGAGGTGACATCTAAACTGATCTTGGTGACTTTGTTTGAGGAGGAAGAGGAGGAGGAGGAGGAGGAGAAGGAGGAGGATGAGGGGGTAAATGGTGTTACAACAAAATGCAGCCACCTCTCCTCCAGATTACTGGATTAGCCTGACCGGGCGGCAGCAGGCCACTGAGTCGGATAAACACGCTCAGCACACCGCAGCAGGACTCTTTACCTCCACTAAAGGATCCGCTAAAGGATGGAGTTCAAGCCGCTAAACTTGTGAGACGCCGTCGTGCCAGATTTTTTTGTATTCCGCTCATATCCCACCCCGGCCCCCGGAGCTCATCACAGGCCACAAAAAAACTCTCTCTCCCGGCCCCCACCAGGACCCCTCACCGCCCGCTTTCCCCTCCGCCGCCAGCCCCACCGAGTCCACCGCAAACACCCGAACCGCGAGACGGGGATGAAGTCAGCCGGAGCCCCGCTGGCTGTTGTTTAATTTCGACAACATCGCAGCAAAAAGCAACTTCACGTCCGACGGACTCGCGGAGAGGAGAAAAAAAAACGTATCTCGTAGTGACCTTGATAAAAGCAGCAGCCCTCCTACCTCTGTCTGAACGTCCGACCACCCGGAGGAGATGACCGCAGTCCCATTTCAACACGCCGCCGGCCGCAGTTTGCAGAGGTTTACAGTTATTCTGGGCGCTGTCCTTCTCCTGGATTTCGCAGTTTTTTGTGTCCACAGTCAAACCGGCAGCAAACACCGAGAACTGCATCCGGCTGGTTGCCTTCAAAATAAAAGCACCGAGTGAGTCTTACTGAGCATCAGAATCAGCTTTAATGGCCAAGTACGTACACAAGGGAATTTGGTTTCAGCTGTTGGTGTCGCCCTAGGAATGAGCAAGGAATAGTAGAAATAGGAAAATAAAGTAAAAATAACTATAGAAAGAAAAAAAATAATAGCAATAATAAATAAAATAAGATAACAAATATATACAAGAATTTACACATCTGAGCAGATAATATATATGTACATTGGTGCAAAATAGCAGTGCAAATAACAATTTTGGCTGAGAATGGCTCAGCTGTTCAGTAGAGTTATGACAGTGGGATAAAAACTGTTTTTATGTCTGGTGGTTTTGGACATGCAAACATTAATTTACAATAAAGATTAAAAAATGTGTACAAATGTATGTAAATAAACACAACCTAAAGTCCCTCTAAAAACTAATTTCTGTGTTTCAAATTAAATATTTAGAAGATTTATTTATTTATTTATTTCACAAGAAAATAATCCCTTCTTGCTTTCAAATGCACGTAGCTCTACATTGTTGATTCCTTTTCAATGTGAAAATCTTTGAAGCCCCCATCCTGGCCAGCAGGTGCTTTTGCCTGCTGTCATCAGGGAAGAGACTCAGATGCTAAAAATGCAGAACAAACAGGCTGAGAAACTGTTTTTACCCATAGTTCATCAGACTTCTGAACTCAAAACAGCAACGCACAGTGTCACTTTTAATAATGCTGCTTGCATGCAATCTCCTGCCCATATTTAGTCGATTTCAATGGTTTTCATTTGATCTCATTACCTCCTCACTGTACTATAGTCTTGTTTAATGTGTATATTTGATTTGATTATTTATTGTTGTTGTATTGTTTAGCTTGTTTTAATGCACCGTCCAGAGGCAGCTGCTTATGTTTTCGTCATGCCCCCATTTATAATGACAATAAAGCTTTTCTATTGTATTCTGATTTTACTTGCACTTGACTTACTTTATAAACCTGTGCCCATGTTAACGTGTATGTTTGAAGGCAAGTGTTGTTGCAGATTCTTGTGTCAGTACTTTTGTCCTGCTGGTTTCTCAGTGGTACAGTCATCCTCAAATGTATTCATACCCTTCCATTAAAGAAAGAAAGAAAAGAAAAAAAACAGCTGTCACTGAAATAAGCTGAAATCGACAAAAGTAATAATAAATAAATAAATAATGAAAATCAAACAAAAAACCCCACAAGCAAACAATCATGATGGGACCATTAAACTAATATTTTGCTGAACAACCCTATGAGCCAATCACTGCAATCAGGTGTTTTCTGTAACTCTCAATCAGACTTCTGCACCTGTTGACAGGTATTTTGATTTTGACCCACTGCTCATCAGCAAAGTGCTCGAATTTGTCCCAGATAGTTTTTTTTCTTTTCTTTTCTTTTTTTTTTTATTATTCTTTTCACCCAGAATTCAAAAGCAATGTCTTATTTCACTATATTATAATTTAGCAATTTTTCATTTTTTTTTAAACTACTTTTTCAATTTCTGGTTATTTGAGTGACTTTTGCTTTTTCTTTAATAGAAACGTATGAATAAATTTGAGGACGACTGCGTGTGTGACGCTGTGGTTTTATTTTGAAACGCTGATGCTCGAACCGGACGCGGCGTGCCTGCTAGTTGCTGTGGTAACAGGGCTGTCCTCCGTCTGTCACTGCTGCTCCGCTCATGTCTCTGCTTTGCTGGCGACGCCACCGTGAAAACCAACGGAAAAAAACAGGCATGATGTTTCCGAAGGCAGCGGACGGAGAGAAGCACCGACTTCTCCCTGCGGCTGTGGGGTAGCCACCCGTAGGTGCCCCCCCACCTCCGGTTCACCGTGTAGGGGTTAAACGTTGCCCGTTAAATCCATCAGGTGCAGCAGCCCCGTTTGTCCAAGTTGGACCGAGCCGGGGAGGGGGGCGGCGGTGAGGGGAAGCATGTGGCACTTTTTCCTCCAGACTTCCTACAGAACAGGACGACACAGCTGCCAAAAAAAGAAAAAGAAACCCGAGAGTGATGCTAGTAAAAGTTAAACGACTTTGGGTGAATGAGCTAAACTTGATTAGCAGCTAGTTAACGGGACTTTAGAGTGAGGATGACCGGAGGTAGCCTGTAAAAAGCTGGAAAACGACAGTGAAGTGCTGCAACAGACGGGTAAACACTTCACATTTATAGTTTAATGCTAGTTTACTGTAAACACTGACCCCCCTACTGCCCCTTAACGTTAACAGAATTAAGTTTTAAATCCTTTTCTTGAGCCCGTTAGTTGTTCCTTTTCTTTTTTTTGTTAGCTAGCTCTGGCACTTGCTAGCTTCAGCTAACGTTTCAGCGACTAGAGCAACTATTGCATGACTAGGAGGTTCCCCACCACAGAAACCACCGGGACCCAAAATGTCTGTGTCGCCGGGATAAACACAGAAACACGGAGCCAACTACTTCACAGATGATTAACACTTGTTGAGTAACATGCTAAAAAAAAAAGGGAAGTATTGATGGAAGAAGTAGTGTCATCCTATACGTGAGGAAAACTGCCAACACAGCATTATAAAAAAAAAAAAACATGAAATAAATGAAAAGTCCTCCTTCAGTCAAAGTACGTGAGTGTTAGTATTGAGGTAGAAGTGCTGGTTTGCTCCCTGTGACTGATGTGTTATTATACTTGGCATCATTAGGTTGTTAATAGTGAATCATCAGTGTGTCAGCAGGATGTTAGTGTTGTAGCTGCTGCAGGTGGAGCCAGCTTGAATGACTTTAGGCTTAGACACAGTGAAACCACGTGCATGTGAGGGGTCTTGAGATGATTAATGAGAGAGGAAAGACGAAAAATAAAGCTCTGATACACAAATCGGTTTCAGATTTTCCCTCATCTTTGACTTTGGGTGAGTGTTGTGACCTGGCTCAGGACAGAAAAGGAAGAACACAATGATAAACATTTAAATAATTCTCTATTAAATCCAATTAGACCAAATTACATAGCCAAATCAAGCCTTGGTGTGCCTGTGGAGAAAGCCAGAGTAGAGAGAGAGAAAGTTAAGTCATTACACTGGACCCAGGTGTGCCCAGTTACTCCAATCAAGCCGCTGCCAATGAGAGACAGGTGAGGGACACACCTCCAAGATGACAACAGTGGTAAAGACACTCCTGGTGGTCCCACAGGAGCATCACAGTGACCATCTGAATGTTGAACTGAAACCACATGAGGAGAGAAAAATCACTATTCGGTTGAGCTTTTAGTACGTCTGGAAATGTCAGCCTTACGACACACTACTTTTCGTAGGAAGTCAGAGGCTAAAAATGGTTTAATCTTTAGCCATGTGTGGTATTTTAAAGCGTTGCTATGTTCCCCATCGTGTGAGATCTTCCTCTAATAAGTTGTCTAATGCAGTAATAGATCAGAATTTTCCTCTAAAATGTAGTGGAGTAGAAGTATAAAGCAGCATAAAGTGAAAACTCTCAAGCAAAGCGCATCGAATTTGAACTTGAGTAAATGTACTCAGTTACTTCTATAAGTTACATGTTGTATTTGCAGCTCATGTCCAAATGTATTTGTCATCTATTTGTTATCTTGTGGCAGGACATCTTCTTACAGTCATGTGAAAAGCTAAATAAATAGCACAAGTGAGTATTGTGGGCTTTTTAAAATTACAAACACTTTTCGAAAAAGAGCCCACAGATGAATGTGGTGTTCAAGCAGATTATCAATAGAAGTAATGCTCTAATACGGTGGGGAGAAGTGGCCTCAGGAGCTAGCTTTGCCCCCTTCAGCTGATAAAAATTCTAACTCTTGGACCATGCAGTTGCTTCAGATGTGCAGAGGTTTTCTTGCCCGTTTCAAATGCCCCTCAAAATGTCAATGGGATTCAGATCTGAGCCGTTCCATAATCCTGCGTGTGTTCTTTTGGACTCGGTCCTCGGTGGGTTTGCTCGTGGCGACCGCTGGGATCATTATCCCGCTGAAAGGTTCTCTTCAGCCGTAGCTTTTGGTCTCACTTTATCTTAAGCAGCCTTTGATACGATTCAGAGTTCATGGTTGAATCAATGACTTGAAGTTTTCCTGTCCTGAGGCAGCGAAGCAACCCTGAGCCACAACATTTCCAAAACCGTGCTGTACGGTTAGTGTGAGGTTCGTCTCCTGAGAAGCTGCTTTTGTTCTGCCCCAGAAGTGTCTACTGTTACTGTGGTCAAATAGCTCCATCCCTGACTCGTCTGTCCAGAGCGCATTATTCCAAAAGGCCTGCTCTTTGCCTGTGTGTATGTTGGCAAACTGACATTCTTTCTGGACAGCAAAGGCTTTTTCCTAACATGCTTCCTCTGCAGGTTGAAGTGGTGCACTCTCCTCAGTGTTACCTGCAGATCCTGTGATCACAGTTTGGGCTTCTTGCAGACTCGTTTTTTGGCCTTTAATGCTTTGCTCTTTGGCTGAATTTGCTGAGGTGGCCAGTCCTGGATAAATTGGCAGTCATTTGAAATCTGTATCACCTGGAGATGATTTTCTTTACAGGGGAAAGATTTATTTCTAATAATCTCTTTAAATCCCATGACAGACTCACAGGCCTCCACAACCTTCTCTCTGAAGGCCTTTTAGAGCTCTTTAGATCTTGGCATGATGACACCACACACTTAAATGCAAAGAGAACAGCAGAGCCCAGATGTCAGAGGTTTAAATAAGCTGTCATTCCCCAAGGAGGTTCTAATCATTGACACCTAATCTTGAATCCCTGATTCTATTTTTAGGGTGTGATAAACAGAGATGTGCTGACAGTCGTCCTCAAATGTATTCGTAGCCTTCCATTAAAGAAAAGGCAAAATTCACAATAGTCATGCAAATAATTAGAAACTGAAAAAAGTAATCATTTAAAAAAACTTCTAAGTCATAATTTAGTGAAATAAGACTAGCGGCTATTTCAAACAGCACCAGACAGCTGCACTGAACCACAGGAGTGTAAGGTTTCTAACACTGAAGATAAAGATGAAGCGATCCGTTTAAGTCCATTTACTTCCATCGAAAACAGAACATTACACGTCCACGTTGTCCTCAGGTAGAAAATCTGTGTGATCTCACACCTTGAGCTCATTCAAACAAAAAAAACAAAACATCACAGGTGTCCATATAAGAGGAGGATCTTATCTTTACCCAATGAAATAATGTTTTTAAATCGCTTTATCAACTAAACTTTATTGTAAATCAGTATTTTTATTTTTAACGTTAGATTTTACCCTTAGCTTTTAACTCAGGACATTTCTATAGTTTTAACCAAAATAATATTTAACATTTTTAGCATTTATTTATTTACCCTTTTTCTTTTTTTACTGTATATGGCTCTCACAAAGACATTGCTTTTGAATTGTGGTTGAAAAGAATAATATTTTTTTTTTAAAACTGTCCCGGACAAATTAGAGCACTTTGCTGATGAGCAGTGAAATCAGAATATCTGTCAACAGGTGAATAAGTCTGATTGAGAGTTACAGAAACACTGGATTGCAGTGATTGGCTTAAAGGGTTGTTCAGCTAAATATTAATTTATGGGTCCCATCATGATCGTTTGCTTGTTTGTTTCTGTTTTTATATTTCCGTTGAAGCACAATTCAAAAGCAATGTCATGTTTTCATTACATTTTTATTTATTATTGCTTTTGTCGATTTCAACTTATTTCAGTGACTGCTGTTTTTTTTTCCCTTCTTTAATGGGAGGATATGAATAGATGTGAGGACGACTGTAGGTTTTCCAGTCCAGTTTCCCATTTGGTACAATAAAATATACACAAAAAAAAGAAAGTACAAAATATTTTCTTCTTCATACTAAGTACAGATCACAATTATACAACAAAATGATCTCTAAAATGTTAAAGTACAAACTAAGCAGTGTTTTCACTCTTACTGAACTGTGATTCTTTAAATCTCTGGCCTGAGGGAAGAGTAAAGGTGAATGGAGAGCAGTCTTATACAGACCTGGCATGGGCTGACGTTCTATTTTTTTTTTGTTTAAAATATGAAAATGTCTGCAATATCTAATTTTATGTTACTTTATACACATCATCTGCAGGTGTGTGTCCTCCCTCAAACGTGTTGAAGAAGTCAACAATTTCCATGCAGTTTACTTGACTGATGATTTCTCATGACTGTTGACATTTTAGAACCTGGTCAACAGAGAAGTAGGCTTATAATACAGGGATTCTCCAGTCCGGTTTAGTGCTGGTAGGGTTTTACCAGATCATCTGAAAACCAGTAAGTGAAGCTGCTGTGTCAGCTGCCTGGCAATTATTGGGAATTAGAATACTGGGAGCAACAAGCAACCTAAAATACAACTTTTCTTAACTCAGTTATGCAGCTTAATTTGCCATTTAAACACAATGTTGGAGGAAATATTGCTGCTGCATACAATTGGAGACTTGAAGAAAGTTAGAGCAGTGTGGAGAAATATAATGGGACGGCAGTGGAAGCATTTGTAATTAGTCTCAACATGCTTTTCTCACATGATGTGAATTCATGTGAGATGTCACATGCAAAAGAGCTGCTCATTATTCCAGTGTCCTGTTATTGCTTGTTGGTGTAATAGACTGTATGTAGTCAAACTGGAGATGAAATAGAGCTGAGAATTTTCCTTACGGATCCCTAAACTATTTAGTAGGCAGATAGGAAGGCTGTATGGAGGTAGTTGGCTCCTATTTGTAGTTTACATGTCTGTAGGCGTGGAGTCTCCATGTTCTGTGTGGGTTCTCTCCGGGTTCTCCGGCTTCGTCCCACAGTCCAGAAACATGTTGAGGTTAATTGGTGATTCTAAATTGTCTGTAGGTGTGAATGTGAGTGTGCTTGGTTGTCTGTCTCTAAGTGTAGCCCTGTGATAGACTGGTTACCTGTCCAGGTGAACCTGCCTTCACCTTGAGTCAGCTGGGATAGACTCCAGCCCCCCATAGTGAGGATTAAGTGGTGTATAGATAACGGATGGATGTGTCTGTAGTAAATGTTTCTCACTTCACGGTGGAGACACAAATACTATTTGTGTAACGGCAATTTTTCACTGTCCTCTAATTGCCGTGAACCGACGCAGACCTCCAGTCAGTGTACTTTCCATTAGTGGATGTTTATTCGATGCAGCGGTTTTCCCATGGTGAATGTGGTATGATGCTGGTCTTGGCTCTCCCCCGACCTGTGCCCTCTACATATACACCCTGTGCTCAATTACCGCCACCATGTGTCCAAACAATTACCTGCCGACAACAAACATAAATGGCTCCTACAATTTGTAAAAACTGCACTCACTCCCAACCCTCAGGTGCAAATTTAGTTTGTGAATTTCAGTGAAGTCCCAGTTACCATTAAATAAGAATTAATATCTAAAATACCGATTACCATGTTGTAACGTGATATATACTGATGAATGTGAATGATAGAGACGTGGTATAAAAGCACACAATCCCACTCGTATCTGCTCGTAACCGTTAAAACAATCAAATGAAGAGATCCAAATAATATCAAGTTCTCCATTTAATAAAATATATTTGCAAGCAAAATACACTGACATTTCTGTTATCACTCCGGTGTTCCTCAGCCAATTTGAATAAACAATGATTCAAGCAAACCTTTGCTGTAACTGTACCACTAACAAGGTTAACTGCTCAGCCAAAAAGAGGCTTTTTAAAAAAAATCAACGATCGAGATTATTACAGCTGCTGAAACCTAGAACGTCAGCCTCATGTCTACTCATTTGTATTGGTTGTACAGTCATACGTCTGTTCTCATCCGCCACACAGTCATTAAAAAGGTCATTCAAGCTGCTACGTAGCATTTCAATGTCAATGGTACGAAAGGAAAACCCAAAGTGGAATGGCTACACAAGAGAGCAAAACGACGTTCTTTCCTTGCACTTCATCAGCGACAATGTTTAGTACATACACATCATCTATGGGTGTTACAGTAACAAGAAAGGAGCAGAGATAAGCAGTCTATTAAGCTTTTAAAAACTAGAATATACTTAAAAATGGATTTGCTAACGAGAAAAAAAAAGAAGGAAAAACAAACAAACAAAATCAAAATATTTCTTTTTTCCACATGTTTAAGAGGCTGTGATGAGCGGCAGTATCGTCTTCCAGGTAGTCGTCTCTTTGTTTCTGCAATTTTGTTCCAAGGATCTTCAAATTGGGCCTAAGTTGACTTGTTTTTACTGTTCTGTTGCTCTCAAATCAAACCCCGCAAACCAATTCCCATCTGCAGCACTTTCACTAGAGAGCACTTGTCTGTCCAAACCATTCATTGAGGAATATTGGTTGGATTAATAATAGTTTAGGAAAAGAAACCCAACCCATGTGTACAGTCCTATTTACAAATAACTAAACTACATCTTTAACCCACTGGTACAATGTTATACCAAGTAAAAAGAAAAGAAAAGAAAAAAAAAAAGACTTAAAAAAGAAAAAGACATTCAAATCTCTCAATGGACAATTTTCAAAACATTCAGCCAGAATAGGCTTTGTAATGTGGATCAGCTGCTGCCTGCCAAATTACAGAGCTACTAAAGGAGAAAAAGATACTGCCTTCAGTTACAGCCACCCCAAACTCAAATGTATTGAAATGCATTTTTTTTTTTGGTAGATAAATCCTTATTAAAAATCTTTTTCACTCATCCGAGTCTTTATCAATACATGATTAAAAAGCAAATCTTAAATTACAACTGTGACGCTTCTTTCTGGTGCAGGATGCGAGTGTTTGTTATCCTAAATGCAGAGAATTAAAATGAAGATGTAATCAAGGGTCTGGGTGCGTTTACAGGTTCAACCCTCACACCCATCACCGGTCCATCATGCTGAGGATCATCTCAGGAGTCAGGTCTCCGTTGGGAGGGGCCTCAGACAGCTGCACGTCCTGCGCCGCTCCCGCTTCCTGGGACAACTCCTCCATCTGAATGGCCGGCTTCCCCCCACCGACCACTACCTGTGTGGCCTCCTCCTCATCGTCGTCTTGCTCGGCTCCAACCTCCTTCTTCACAATGATGTCATCCACCTCTCCAGTGGCCTCGTCCTCCACACGGATGATAGCAGCCGCTGTTGAGAGAGTTTTAGGTCAGACTCTGTTGCTTAAAAGATATAAATATACATCTCCAGACTGCTCTAAGTGTCTAAAGGGAACTTTTATAACATTTTTATTTATGTGCATCCACTGTGTCTTACTTTGTGTGGCCTTATAACACCGTCAAAACGATCACTGTGAGTCAGACACTTACTGTCAGGCTTGTTCTTTGGGGGCCGTCCACGTTTCCTCTTGACTGGTGGCTCCACTGGGGCTGGGATAGGAACAACTGGTTCAGCCTGTTCCACCTCAATCTCAGTTAGCAGCTCATCCTCTTCCTCCTCCTCGATGTCGTCCAGATCACCCTCTAAATAACACAAAAAGAGGCACAATAAGCTGATAGGAATCAAAAGCTTTAGATGAGCATATTTTAATCACAGTCTTACTCAGAATTACTGAGTCCATGTGTAAGTGTCCATGGACACAGCATACCAGCACAGTTCTGAATTAATATGTTGCTAAAACTAAGCTAAACTGGCTACGAGGACATGGATGTCCTTGGAAGAAAACTACTTTTGCCTTCAACTCTTGATACCATTTTTGATTTGAGATGTTTCTTGGGGTGTTGCTGGTCAAACAGCTGCCTGTTAAAGTTAGCTAAACTGGGCTTTATGACTCAACTTGTAAAAATAAATGTTTCTCATCCTGTAGGTTCATACTTTCCAAATGTTTTTACAATTAGTAACAAAAACTGTATTATGCCATGAGAATTATAATAATGCCATTGAATTTCCCTTCTGGGACAAATAAAGTATTTTTCATTTCATTCATGAGAATTGTTGATTCCTGTTGGCTAAACCATTGATCCTGCTGAACATTTAAAGCAGATGTTAACCTTAAAAGTAAAATAAGTTTTTGTTGCTTCACAACTGACCTTGATTGACTCCACTGAACTACTTTAAGTCTGATTACATATCCTGATGTAAAATTAAGGGCTTTGTGCTCAAAATCTACAAGATTTGCAAAAGCTTATGTCTACAATACCTGTGTCGTCATCATCATCGTCGTCCCTCCTGCTCTGCATCTTCCTTTTCCTGCCACGACGACCCTTTTTAGGCGTAGGAGTTCCATTTTCTTCTATAAGTTCGCCCGTGCAGTTTTCAGAGTGACGCAGCATCGTGTTCTGTGGAGCACACAAACAATAGTCACACCTCAGTGACATACTGGAAAGAACAACTGCAGTGTGTGCACTAAACGTTCAGAGCTTCAGTCCTACCCTGCGGGTGAAAGTCTTGCTACATTTGCTGCAGACAAAGGCGGTGGGGACGAAGTTGGGATCGTGGTAGCGTTTGAAGTGCATGTCCAGAAGCTGCTTCTGTCGGAAAGTTTTATCACACTGGCTGCAGGCAAACGGCTTCTCCCCCGTGTGTGTACGCTTGTGCATTATCATGTGACGTTCCTGCCGGGTAGCACATCAAAGAGATTCAACAGTCATTTAAAGGTAAAACAAATGCATAAACACAGCACACGTGGTACATGCTCAATGTACACTACATAGAACACAAACCTGTCTGCAGCAGTAGTCACACTGGTCACACTTGAAACGCTTTTCATTCTTGTGAGTCTTCTGATGTTGGATGAGAGCGTAGCGCTCATGAAACACAGCGTCGCAGTAACGGCATTTCTTCCCTGTCTCAATAAATGAGTGCTGCTTACGCAAGTGAACACCTGGGGGGGAAAAAAAGTGAAAACATGAAAGCCAGTCAGATAAATGCTACACAGCCTTGACATAAAGCCCTGAAACTGTTCTGAAGCCTTACTATTTGGTAAACACAGGTTCCTGGGAATCCTTACACTATAATTAACTATATTTACACAGGGCACACCAATATCACAGTGACTGCAATCTGCTTGTTTAAGGTAATATTTCTATTATAAGGTGTGCATGATGTGAATAACCACAAGTTCTCTTACAACCGTGGTTTAGATAGACATATTTCACAATGTCAGACCCCAACGACCCACATGAAAACAAGCCTTCCCAGTGCTGTTTGCAGTTTCTTTTCAGCATTTGTTTACTGTAATGACACGCAGTTTGAAGTAGGAATAGTCACATCACTTACCAAGGTCACTCTTGCGTGCAATGACAGTATCACAGTGTGGGCAGTGGAACTTCGCCACGTTCTCCGTGTGTTTCTGCAGAATGTGCATCTTCATGGTGCCACTCTGTGTGAAACGAGCGTGGCAGATGTAGCACTCGTATGGCTTCTCACCTACAACAGAGAAGAGAGAATTCAGTGAGTGAGGTACTCTTCTCAAACGGGAGGTAAACGACTCAACGTGTTTTGACCACAAGAAACTGAAACCATCTTACCTGAATGTGTTCTCATGTGTCTCTTCAGCTTGTAAGTGTCTCTGCTGGCATAGCTGCACAGACTGCACTGGAAGGGTCGCTCCCCTGTATGAGAGCGGATGTGCCTTTTCAACTTGCTCACCTGGGAAAAGAGGCAGAGACCTCAGAATCAGAACTTGTCCCATGGTATAAGACGGAGAATTACAGACTAGGTTGGTACTTAACAAAAATCTGTTATATTACTTGCCTCCACACTGGAGTAGTCACACATGGAGCACTTAAAAGGCTTCTCGTGTGTGTGTTTGTAGCGACGATGACGCACCAGCTCACCACTGGTCACAAATGCCATGTCACAATCTGTGCATTTATGTGGCCGAGTGCCTGAAAAAGTTGAAGAAAATTTGAATTATGTATCAGACTGAGACAAAACAAGAGCACACTTGGATGAAAAGCAAATAACCACCCACTCATTATTGCCCGGTATGAAACGATCATATCATGCCAACATGACAACACTTGAAAAAGGAAATTCTCCAGCGAGCCAACTCTGAGAGTTCAGTTCCTGAGCTGAACTATTGCAGACTATCAAACTGCTGCCATTGTCAGTGTTTTGAATTCTATCAGATTCTAATTTACCTGTATGCGTGTTGAGATGGTTTCTCAGCAGTGTGACCGTTCTGAATGCTCTTCCACACAAGTGACACTTGTGTGGTCTTTCGTCTGTGTGGCTCTTCATGTGTCGGTCCAGGTTAGAGCGCCTTGGACAGGTGTAGCTACACAGCTCACACTGGAAAGTCTTCTTTACACCTGGACACCACAATGGGAGAAAGTTAATTCATTTTTAACATCACAAATCTACATCATTACAAGACTCTGAACAGAAACCTCATGTAGCCCACCTACAAAACACTGTTTCCCACCATTCTTTCTCATTAGTAACTGTAGAATATGCCCAAAAAGACTGAGAAGTCTCACCTTTTTTCTTAATCTTTGTGGGCTTCGGTGGCTTCATGTTGCCCACAACCTTCTCAGCATTAACCTCTGACAGCAGCCCCTCCTGCTGCTCTTCCTCAAAGTCGTACACCGACACATCCATGTCACGATCTCCCTCTGCGTATCGCAGGCGGCTCTTCTTTCCCTTCTTGGCTTTACGGATGGCGGTAATGGGCTGGTAGTCTGGATCCTTGGACCATTCTGGGTCATCTTGCTGGGGCACAGAAGATTCCACTTCTGCTACCTCTTCATCCTCTTCTTCATCCTCCCCCCTCGTCCCTTGGAGCTCATCATGAGCAGCCTGGAGCTCCTCCTGTTCTACAGTCTCCACCTCACCATTGGCACCCACTTTTACCACCTAAAAGAAAACATCACAAATTCAGCTTAACGTGACAAGACTCTTCAACAACTGTAGTTCACTGGATGTTTCAAGTCGATGACATAACTAAAAAATGACTAATCTTTTTAACCAGCAGTCATTTCTCACCTGAAATCCCTCAGGCAAGGGAAGGGTATGACAGATAACCGGCTCTGCATCTTTGTTAGCTGTTGATGCCTCAACAAAAGTGGCCTGAAGCCCCTCTACAGTTGCTGTAGTTACCGGTACCTGCACCAGCTGAAGCTGGCCAAGACCTAATGCAGCACCTGTCTGCTCCTCCATGTTCACCACCTACAAAGAACAACAGAACTTTACAGCATGATCAAATGACAATAACATTTCATAGCAAAGCAGGTTACTGATAATTCAACAAGTTAAACTTATGTTCTATACAAACCTGTAGAGTGATGATCTGACCCTCGTCTCCACCAGTAACGGTTACTGTGCCGCCTCCCTCCAACACCTCCGTCTTCATTTGAAGCAAAGCTGGATCGAGAGCGTCCATCACCATCATTTCCATGTTACCAGCCACCTCAGCCTGTGCCCCTTGTATCAAGGCCTCTCCGCCTTCTGGCAGGACCTTTCCATCAGAAGCCAGGGCGACCTGAGCAGTCTCCATGGAAACAACCTCGCCCTCCATGGCAATGGGCCAACCAACACTCTAAAAAAAAAAAAGACATGAAAAATGTTATGAAAAAATAAGAGAGAATTGTGTAATATTTGCAAAACTACACCTCAAAAAAACTATTCTTTGTTCAAAGACCTCAGCTTGTACAAACCACCAACTCTAACCTTACACTATGTTTTGCAGTGTTTTTTCCCCTTTTGGCCAAAGCTGAAATAGCTGAATGTCTTTCAATAAATCAATGTATGTCGAGACATGATGCTGAGAACATCTCATGGAATGAACAGGGAGTTTAAGAAAAACAATAATTTTCTCAATCTTTGTCCATTTGCCAAGAACCTTCATAGTCTCATGACCTGCTTGCCTTGACTGCATGAATCATAAAAATTGGGATGGTTCACGTCACATCCCTGGTTTGCAACTGTCCAAAACTGCGGACAATGACGGCATCATGGAAAACACACTTTGATTCATTTCGAGGTAAAAATAACAGCGACTGAGATCCAACGATAACCAACCTGTAGGCATATACTGCCACCTATAGTGTCAAGTACATACAACCAGAATCCAGGAGTTGGTCTGCCATATCATGGTTTGTTTTGATTCAATGCAGAGTCACTCATGTCAACTTGTGAAGCTAGTTTCCAGTTTTAATTGGATAATCAAGGTTTTACCGTTTGGGTGTGCTGTGGAAGCTGGTCTCACGTTTTATTTATTCTCTAAGTGTTTTTTGTGTAGACACACAAAATGAATGAATGGATTTGATTCCATTATAACATATAGCTATTTCATTAAATGTTTTATAAAATGTGTTTCCCGTCACACCTAGTCCTGCTGAGCCACAACGCTATTTGGAGATATGACCTATGTAGTAGAGACACTATGGAGAGTTCTAAAAGCCAGCAAATAAAACTAAGCACACCTCCACTAGGGGCATGTCTGTTGTTTTGACCCGCTCCTTTAACACAGCATTAAAACGGCCACTGAGGGCACTATGCATGGGTTTATTACCTGAATGAACTCAATACAGCTATTTTATTTTATGAGAGCATTTCACTGCAAAACACCCCAACTACATGTCCTGGCAATGTGGATCATCATGTCTTCAACTTTGTGGTTCACATCCGTGCCAGGGATTGATAGAAAACCTGGTGGTGCTTATTTGGATTTCAGATGTTATAGGATTCACCGGGTTACTCCAAAGTACCACATGCATACTGTCTATCCACACTGCAAACACTGACTTCAACTATGCTTGGCCAGGTGAACTTCTCGTGATCCTACCCTTATTTGTAGTTTTAGCTTCATGGCGATACCTGTGACAAAGCCAGAGTTTGCTGAGTGTGCCAGGTAAAGTAGTACTTCAACTCAACTCAAGTGAACCATGTGTTGCGAAACTGTGCTCGTTCATCATTCATTGTCCTGTTGCATTAACCACGAGACCGGCTTTTTAAAAAAAAGTTTTATTTTTCGTCTATCTGTGCCGATTTGAGTTGAATGAACACGGAGGGGATTTGTCTGTTTGCCAATGATAGAAATCACAATCAATCGATCAATCAATGCTTCATTTTCACTTACTCGACCGTTTTAAAAGCATCTACTTTCTACAATCTCAATTTCTATCACTTCTCAAAGCTTCAGTCCAGAAGAAATATGCATAATTTATCGGATACAAACTACTTGAACAGTGTCTCATGTTAGTTGGTTAAGTCGGGAGGCGCGAGTGCGTCTGAAAACAGGAAACAAAGGGCACGATAAGATGGACGTCAGGCCTGAACAAACTTAAAACAGAAATACCGCTAAATACAGCCATCCCTGTGCAGACACACCAAAATACCGTCCGAAAAGCAACAAAAAGCTCAACTGAGACCCGGAGTTACAGTTTATAGACGATTTAGTGCATTTTGGATAACGATAGAGGGAGACAAACACCCCCCGCCAGTCGCCTGGCCGGTAAGCCCTACCGTGACACCTAGAGGCCGACGACGGCTCCTACAAAAACGTTTCCGCGTTTGGGGGCAAAGTAATGGCTATACTTACTCTTGGTTGCTTCTTTTCCCAGTTATATTCGCTTAGAAGCTCGGCGCTTGCGGTGCTCTCTGCAGCCTCTCGGCGGACGGCCGTGTGCGCTCTGCGCCGGGCTAATAATTTTCTCCCGCTTTGGAAGAGTGGGCCTAACACAAAATGGCGGCCCAAATCAGTCAATGCGCATGCGCGAACACAGCACCCGGGGGAGTGAAGGGGCGTGGTTGAGCCCCGGCTGTGGGTGATGGGCGCTAGATTTGAATTCAGGCGTGGGCGTGGCGACCCACAGCACGACGACCACGGCGATCAATAGAACAGAGGGATGATTGATTGGTTTTCTGATTAGATTTGCAGATCGGCATTTCGCACGAGTGTGACTTTTTAAAGTCCAACAGCTTCGAGTCACTGCTGAGTTTACGGCAAATATTTGGTGAATTTAAAGCAATTCATGAGATCAGCCACAGGGGGGCAGCATGAAGGCTGTAGGTGTAAACACATACACACATACACAAAGTCGTGATTGATGACCATCCTCATATTCTAGATTGAATGCGATGAAAAAAGGTTAATTTCAGTTGATTAGCAGGGAAAGGTGAGCACGGCGCAGACTGTGCGATGTTTACAGTTTTTCTATGGTGTCCCCCAGTCATTGTTTGGTAATTCAATTAAACAAGTTAAACGAAAAATAATGTGTGAATGACTCCTTAAGGATATAAGTATCTGGAAGTCCCAACTAGTCAGTCAGAACTGATGAAGCCTCTTGGACGAGAGGTGAAACGTCTTCAAGAAACTCAAGCAAGTCCAGATGCTACAAATAATCTACCAGAATAAGTTAAAATAAGCCACATTTAGGGCCAAAATCTGAAAAATTGTGGGCTCAGATGACACTTTAATTCTTCTTTCCAATAATCGCAGTGTTCCTGGTTTAAGTCTGACTGTGAACTTTTGTTGCCTGTCATCCCTTCAACAGTGAAGATCTTTTACAAAGGTAATCATCTGTAAAGGTACATAATTAACGTTAAAGTCCTGCATTCAAAATGTTTCACGAAAAATGGCCCCTGTGAGCCTGTGAAGTATATGTGATGTAATATACATAATGATATATATATGTACTAGTATGTTATGCTTAATTAGATTCTTATTATTTCTTTGGCAATAATACGTAGGCACCATTTAACTTGTAGCTGGTCGAGGTAGAGCTGTCTAATTACTGTTTCACTTAAGTTGGCAACTAATTGTTGTTCTCTTAAGGACTTGTCAGCTGATTTTTATTCTTGATCAGTCATTTTACTTATTTGTACGTAAATTTTTGCATAAATGTGCTTAGTTACATTTAAACACTTTATACCTCTGTTCCTCCTAGTGAGATCTGGACAGTGTGAGTGTTTAAAGTGAACCAGCTGGCTCACTGAAAGTGTAATCTTGTGTGGTCTTCAAATTTTAGTCAGTCTTTTGTCAGTTTATTGCTTTATAACATACATCTATTCTTATGGCCAGCATAGGCAAGATCTATTTAAGATTTAAGGTTTAAAACAATGTTGTCACCTCTGATCCCACTTGCGTTAACGTTACAAGAACCAACTGTCGTTGCATTACATCTGCTCCAGAGCACTAATATGGCTGATGTCATATTATTTCTTATGGAAAAGTTGACGTGGATTCGTAAGCGGAAAACAAGTTATTTCGGGGTTGTTATGTTAGGGTGAGGGTTAACCGCTCAGAGAGGAAACAGTCCTGCCAACTTTTCCATTATTATATAAATACATTTAGAAACAGCGAGAAAAGAAATGATCTCCATATAGAGACCGTCCACTTCAAACCAGGCGAGACATATTGCTGGTTTAAATATAAAATATTCAGACCAATATCAAATATTCAAGGCAGCACAAATCCCCTGAAACCTGCTACACATGTCCTAGGGGGAATTAGCATTATAATTAAGATACATAGAATTTGGTGGTTGTGGGTGTGTGCCTTATTTTATGGTTTCTGAACAAGACTTACAGCTCATTATCACAATCCCTAACAATCCTCTCAGGACTACTTAGGACAGTTTCCTCTGGTAATGCTGTGACATCTTGTTTTGAAATTTACAGGAATACTGCCGTGTGTATTTGTACACTTAAGAATCTACCAGGTCAGTCTGTCACTTACAGCATTTCAGAGCATCTTTTTCCGCATATAAAATAAATTATTAATTTGTTACATAACCAACAGAACATTATGTCCATTCAGCTCTTTCCAGTCGAGCATATTGGAGTGTGTGTCCTTGTTATTAGCTCGGATGCATTTATGAAGCAAATGTCAGTGTGGTCACTTCATCCCTGCCTCTGTGCCTCTGCTTATTTTATCACCATCTTTTTCTCATGGTTTCCCTCTTGCAGAGGGGAGGGGGCAGAGAAAGGCGAGGCTCTGTTGTCAGATCTGTCAGTCTAGCCAGCCTGGCCCCTCCCACCTCAGCGGAGGCATTACATACTGCTGGTGCTCGTGCTCTTAGCAACGGTGCCTCAGCAACAGAGCCACGGCAACAGAGCTCCACGGCAACAGCGTGCCGTGTCTCCCCAATGGAGCTGCCATTGGGCGGACCAGCGCTCAGGCACTACACCCAGAGCAGACCGAGACCTCACCGACAAAAACTGAACTACCGTCCCAGCAGACCGCAGGTACTGTGAAGGAGGACCAGGGAGGTTCTGTGAAAATGGAGTGTGAGGGAAAGGTGGTGTGTGTGAGGAGAGAAAATGGAAGGGAGGGAGAGAGGAGAGATGTAATAGGGTACAGAGGGGAGAGGCAGGGGGAAGGGAAGGATGGAGGGGGAGTGCTGTAAAAGATGCCTGGTCCCTGCTTGAATAAGGCATTGTACCGGTCACCGGCTGTTTGAAGAATCCACTCTATTTTCTGTCTGTGAGAGCACGATGACTTTAAATGAGAGCGAGGTGTAGTTTGGTTTGAATGTCTTTTCCTGCTCTCACTGGGGGGGGAAGAAAAAAAAGAGCTAGTGGCGTGGTTTTATTTTTTCATATGGTTGTGTCAAAACGTAGAGTGTGTGTGATCATCCATTTTCCACTGAGCTGATCATATTGTCACAGAGCCGTTCAGCTGTAGACACACAGTCACTCCCTAGGAGACAAATGGCCTGAGAGACAAAATTCAAGCAATTCCCCCGGCAGGATATCATGTAACGGTGACTTCTGCTAAATTTGTGTTCTGCAGTCAACCTCCTGACTTTCATTGCTACTTGTGGGCACAGATTGTTAATATGATCGGGATGATGCAACTCCGTATAGCTGCAATTTTGATATCACATTACCTACACTGACAAAATGAGTTATCTTGCTTTCATTCCGCATGTAAAACCCAGTGACGCCCCCCCATTGTAGGTTACTGAGCAACTGACTCCCAGGAGGCCTGCTTCGTAGCATAAATGGATGAGAGAATCAAACCAAAATACACCTATAGAGGCAGGAGCAACACTAGTGCCAGAGTGTGTGGGTTTTCAGAGGTGATGGTTATGTAATGTAAAGTTACATATGAAGCAAAGCTACTCTTCATCATCTGTTTGTTTGATCTTTGGTGCAAAACGTCTGTGTTTTCTGTGTATGTTTGTGGTAATTAGGAGACAATAATTGAGAGTGAAAATGAAGTCCTTGAGTTCATGGGGCGAGTGGATGAAGGCGTGGAAGAGTTCTTTACTAAGAGAGTACTTCCTGCTGACACACTGTGAGTATCACAGCTGGCAAATTAGCATCTTCCTTCATATTTAGCTGATCCAGATACAAACTGTGCTACTTTAACAAAGTTATTCTGTACAAGAAGGTTTGATTTATATGATTATTTGTAGGAAACAACAAGACGAGGAAACCATCACAGTGCACGAAGTGGCTCCGGCCAGCTCTGTCCCTTGTCCACCCCCCACCAAAACACTCAGGAGGAAGCTCGGCGATTTCTTTACACTCAAAAAGAGGCGAGGTTTGAAATCAGAGACGAGCCGTGACCATGAGGGGCGTCCCAAAAAGGCCTCCATCGCCGATTTCATTCGCCCTCTCAGGGAGGTCGCCAGATCTGAGAAAGAAAAAGATAAGGACAGAGTGAAGGAGCACGACAAGGAAAATGAAAAGGAGAAAGCGAAAGAACAGCCCAGTGCTGTTACTGGAGAGCCAACTGTGCAGGAGACACCTGTTTCTGGTGCTCCGCAGCTGAGGGGTGAAGCGGCGCCTCCCCGCCGAGCTCTCAGAGAGGGGAAGTCCCAGTCTCTCATTTTGCTGTCTGGATCAGCAGCAGCAGGGACCACTAATGCCAGAAACACTGCAAAGGTGAGTGCTACTGGACTGAAAGCCCTGTATGCCTTTACAGTAGTAGATGCGTTTTAAGAGGCATAATTTCTCTGCTGTTGCTCATTTCAGAAACAATTTGAAGGCCAACATAGTTTTGAACAGAAACTCCATCTTATGCTACAACGTATTGGAGTTTCCAAACCACAGCCTGGAGAGACGCAGGTATGTGAATGTGTCTGTCCAGATTTAATTATGTATATTGTAGGAGCCGTCAAAGGTGTAAAAACACCCCTTTTATTCTTGTAGAATCAAGAAGGGGAGATGAAGAAGGCAGAGTCTGAAGGTATGTCCCTTTATCTATGTGATGCTTAATATGATTAAAGTCCTTTCTGCTGCAGCTCAGTCTTAATGAGGCAAAATTAATCTTTGAAGTTGAGGGATTTGTCTCAAATGGAGAGACTTCTTGACGTGGATCAGTTCTCCATTAACAAGATTTAGTATCTCAGGCAGAGACAACCAGGAGAACTTGCCTGTTTCCATCTGTTATAAGGACATAACACGGATTTAGTTCTCTAGTGAAATAAAATGCAAATGATCTTTGTGCTTCAGGTACCATCATCGACAGTAAACCTGAGCCACCTCCTACTTTCTCAAAACCTCGAACGATGTCTGCGTCATCAGGTAAAACACAAACACTGATTTACTCTCTCGTCACATGTACAGCATATAATACGATCAATTGTTAGCACATTCATTTTTATTTATTTTTTGTTCTTTAGACACAAGGCATCAAATTCGGGCGAGTGTGTCAGCACACGAGGCAGCTGGGAAACCTGCTTTGCTTCCAAAGCCAGTTATCAAACCAGGTCCACCTCCCACGACATCTGGCCGCAACACACCTGAGAACGAGCTAGCCCAAATACAGGAAGCGGAGACAAACACGCCCACTAAACTCAGTCCAGCTGCAGCTCCGGCAACCTCTGCTGCTACCACCACTCCCGCTGTACCGACAATCTCAAACTCAACCCCTGACTCAGCTGATGTTACAGTTTCCCCTTCAAGTACTGTACCTCCCTCTGACACAGATATATGCACTGACTCTGTTCACCCTCCTGCAGCAGCTACAACACCCACGAATGGTACAGTGCTCGACAGCGAAGCCTCCATCCCTGAAACTAGTTCTCCTTCCACTGAGTTACCGCCCTCTACGGTCCAGACAACCCTTACAAGCACCGCTACACCTACAGCGCCCCCCGCCACCGTCTCAGTCACCTCCACCCCCTCCTCAGAGTCCATTACTTCAAGCCTCCTTGTCACTTCCAGCTCCACAACAATAACTAGCCCTTCCATTACCACCTCGGAAACTGCTTCTGCTCCCAGCAACGAAACCTCAGTTTCCACAGCATCAACAAATCTGTCAACTAAATCGACTTTGCCAGAGCCAAATGATGTTCTCTCAGCTGATGCTACCCATGCCGCTGTTGGTGATGCAGCTATTTCTGTCACCACCACTGCTTCTTTGCCCTCCACCAGCACATCAGATTTGCCATCGGGCTTGTCTACCACCATCAGTTCAGTTGCAGAAGCTACTGATGAATCCGCTTCAGTCACATCCAGCAGCCCCGTAACATTACTTTCATTAGTCACTACAACTACATCTCCTCCTCCTAACTCAAGCGATGTAATTACAGCTGCAGTTTCACATGACGCCCCCATCACCTGTTCCTCCACCATGATCTCTGCTGCCCTTCCTCCCACCACCTCCACCTCTTCTGCCACTGCTCAAACAGTCAGCCCAACATCCAGCATGAACTCTGTCTCCACATCTACCATTAATCACCCAGCCGCCCTTAGCTCCACTGATATCTCCGCTCCCTCCACTTCTTCCAGCGAAACAAACCCGACAGACACCACTTCCACCGCCACCAGTTTAAAGCGTGCAGATACTACTTCCACCCCTAGTTCAGCCGCTGCAGCTGCCATTAGCTCCCCACTCACGACTGACTCAGACCCACCTTCGTCCAACAATGTCGGCACTACCCTCACACCAGCTATCTCTAGCCTGCCCGCTACTGATAACTCAAGTGCTACTTCTCACCATTTGACCACTCCAGCACCCTCTAATGATAGTCCAGGCCAAGATAACGATTTACAGACATCTCCCGAGGAAAAATCCAGTGTAGAGCCTGCAGAGAAAACCACTGGTAAGTTTCAACTCCTGTGAATTCATCATGCACGCTTGTGTGTACATAAATGTGTGCTGAACGGCGTGTTTTGTGATTCTCCTCTCTCGACAGCAGACGACGGGCCTGAGATTGTTCAAAAGAGCAAGTTACCCGAGACGGATGAGAAGAAGGAAGTTCCTGATGGTGATAAAAACAGCGAAGGTGACAAGGAGAAACCAACGCCGGGTAACGACGAGCAAGTGACAAGAAAAGAAGTGCAGGAGCAAAGCGTGAAAGCTGAAGAAGACACAGCAGCTGAACCTGCATCAGGGAAAGAGGGCGAGCGGAGCAGAGATGAGGGCGTGATAGAGGCTCAGAAGCAAGAAGAAACTAAGTCAACGAGTGATAAGTAATTAAAAAAATAAAGAAGTTGCTAATTACGGGACCAACTACTGTGACAGGGGCAGAAGAGGCCACAGTAAAGAGTAAAAACGGGGGGGATGATCCATGGCACTTCCTACAGGGACCACCACATTACAGCAGCACACCACAAAGGGTGGGCCACTGGACCAAAGAACTGAGATCCCCTTGGTGTGATGTAATCAACAAATCCAGCAGTGTCTTTGTCCTTTTTTAACTTCTGTTTGAAATTTTGCATTGCACGTATGATTATGTACCATAAGAAAACTACTGTGGTAAAATACACCATGTTTACAATAGATGGATAAGAGACATAGTTATGACTATTAAATGGAATATTCAATTGACTGAGTCATCTCCTCAGCTGCTTTTTTATGTGTGAAAAGTTTATTTCTAAAAATTCATGTTTTTTTGATGAAAGATTATTGAGTCAACATACACTGATGTGCTTTTTTTTTTTTTATTTTAAAGATTTCAGCCACATCTCATGGTCTTCTTTGGTTGCCATGGAGAGAGCTCCGTTGCTTTCACATTGGGGCTCAAATCGTTGTCTCTGTTATTTTTTTGGTGCCAAATTTGAAAAAGCAAAATTCCATCTGCTGAGGAGGTCCATGAGATGCTGTTCAAAGCAAAAAGATGAATTAAGAACTTACTAAAAACCTACTATTTCTAAGGTCGAGTTTCATGCTAAGAAATTATGTTTGAATGTTTCTGGATTAAAAATGTTAATGCACATATTTATTATTTAATTTTATTCATTTGTATGGGTCCACATACAGAATTATGGGTAAACGTGACCATGTGTTCTTCATGAAGCGAAGATCACATTTTGCTTCACATGTCAATTAAAAATCACTTTCCTCAGACTATTAGGACAGTCATAAAAATAAGACACGATTGCTGCATTGCATTTTTGCCTTAATTTGAGTCAGAAGATTAGTGCTGCACATTACAGCCTTGCAGTATTATGAAGGAAACATAATAGAAATGTGGTTTGTAAGCCCATTGTGCTCTACGGCTGCCTTCTAATACAGTGATCCAGCAGCATGTCGGGATTAAATACACAGAGCACAGCAGAGTTTGGCTTAACTGAGCCCTAAAATTGGGGTAATACAACCCAATGAAACAATGAAAAGGAAAAAAAGAAAAAAAACAAACATTACAATCTTTTTTAAAAATCCAAAATAAATGGTCTGTGCGATCTAATCTGTAATTGTTCATTAGATAGCATTTCTTGGTATCTACTAAAATTCTATGAAGACAACCACCTAGAGCCTGTGGCACAGGATGTAATAAAAGTGCTCCTCCTGTCACAGCAGCTGGAGCATCAGAAGACAGTATTCAGGCCTCATTCACAAAATGTTTCTCCGATTTTTTATTTATTGAGAAAAATGTATATTGAAATCTATAGTGAAACTCCTAAGTGTTGATCTTATGCTGAGTTACAGATGGTGAATAAATGCAGATTTTTTTTATATATTAGATATTCAGGCCTGATCATGCTGATAGAGAGATACGCTGGTAATCCAGTGAAACAGTTGAAGCACAGAGAGCTTTCTTTTCGGGGCACTTAATACATAAAGCGAACAACCAGTTAACTGTGTCAGTTATTTGTTAACTTAATTTAAATCCTTGAGGAAACCTTTAGTGCTTGCAGTCAAGAGAATAAAAGGCGATAATCTACAAACAACAGAGCACGGGTAAAAACAGTTCCATTTAAAAGCATAATCGTGATTTTAAATTGGTGTACTGGTGCTGAGTTATACTGCTTGCTGCAAAATATTCCAGGTGTTTCCAGCACAAAAAGCAAAAGCAGTTTTCCTCAGTTCAGTGCCTGTCTGTGGGACTTTAAGGCAAATGCTTGAATGAGTTGATTAATGATTCGCGACCAGTATGACAGGAAAATTACCTTTGGTGGCATCCTGCCGTGTAGAGCTTTATAAATAAAAAGAAACCAGTGTCGGTCACACCTTACTGCGAGAGATGGCCAGCCAACTATTCCATACAGTATGCAGAGATGAGTTGAATGACTGTCACAAGAAATGAATCTCATGGCTGAGTGCTAAAGTGGATAGAGGGCTTTTAGACTGGAGGCAGAGGCGTGTCTGTAGATGACATCACCACAGCCTAAGACAGACAAGAGGACTGCTTCAATTCTTTTTTTCTTCTGCTGAATGAGGGAACATTTGCTTTGTTTATGTATAAATGCACTTTTTTTTGAAGTTTAATGAATTTTGTAGAGAAGATGAGGGTCAATACAACACTGAAAGAAAATCTACATTTTTTACCCCACCAGTGTTAGATGCACAATAAAGTAAAATTAGAATTTTTAAATGTGATCATCCAATGGTGGATTTCTGCAGCATCAAACCCCACAGCTCCGTCTCTGCAGTACAGCATAATGGAAGAGATGAATGTTTATTATGCGTTAAACTTTTTTCTCATTATGTCAATCAGAAGAGAGGTGTTTTTAGACATTAAAATGTTTTTGGCATGTTTGTTTTTTGGTTAATTAATTCTGTAAGACAAACAGCTTCATCCCTTCATTTTAATACAACCTGCATGTTGCTCATCTTCCAGACCAGCAGGGGTCGCTGGAGGCGCCGCCGCCCACAAAACCTGCACTTCACCCGGAAGTGGAGCACCGAGGGACTCGACGGTAGAGACATTGTTGTGGAGACTCTTCACTCTTTCTTTTGCTGTTTCGATAATCCGGTAAGGTTCTAACCAGCTACCGGCGGAGCAGCGCTTGCAGGAGGGTTTGGAGCCGCTGAGTTCACCGTAGAGATGTCGGTCGTACCTCCGAGTCGCTCGGCCACCGGCTGGCCGCGCGGTGGTGCCGTTCAGTTCGGGAACAAGTACATCAGCGGGCCCGCTAAACCGCTCACCCTGGAGAGGACCATCAACCTGTAAGTTCAGGGGGAAAGTACACACATGCAGGCGCTCTCACTGCACACATGTGTCCGTTAGTTGTTGGACACCGACCACAGAGGGACAGCGTTAGCATTAGCAGCCCAGTTAGCTGATTGAGTCTGAACGCTGCCTGCAGAGTCTCATCACATCCGTTTGACTTCACACATCATGTCTGCGCTCAAACCTGGCTGTGAACAAGGAGGAGGAAAATATCCACATATAGAGCAGAAAATGCATTATTTGGTGGTTAGTTGTGGCTGCATCTAGTTGTTGTTTCCATTGCCAGTAATGAAGCTGAAAATAGTTTAAACCCGGTTGACAGAAAATAATTGACAAGTAATTTTCATTTGTTACCAGGTATTTTATCTTATTTATTTTTTTGTATAATAAATGCACACACAGCAAAACCCTCGTTGGTTCCAGTTTCTCAAATGGCAATATTGGCTGTTTTTTTTGTGTGAGTGTTAATATTAAACTAATTATCTCCAGATTTTTTCAGGCAAAACAAACAATTTTCTTGACCGACAGAATATTCATAAATTGATGAGCCCTCATCAAGCAATCTGACAATTTTGTTCTTAATAAACAGCTGATTCTATTTGGTTTTATAATGTCCGAACACACCCATAAACTGCTATCACAGGTTTCTAAATCCAACTTCTAAATGACGTATAAAGTTTTTTTTCTTCCTAAACAAGTCAATATTTACTTGAATACTAATCATATTTAACAATGTACCAGTAACAGTAGTCTATCCATTTCCCCCCCTGTTTTTATATCAATAAAAATCACTTGCCTCGTCCTTGATCTGTTGGTTGAAAAAGAAAAGCTTTTTGAAGTTGTCACCTTGGGCCTATGCATTAAGTCACTTTATCAAGAACAAACACAAAAAAATTAAATATATGTTTAGTAAATACTGAGAGTAATCATACCTTGTTTTCTGAGATTAAAAACTGCAGATTCATTTTATTATCATCACTGTATTGTCTGTCACGGCTTTACATTTTGTAGCACATGAGTTTGACTCACGCTGGTGTTTTCTCGGATGGAGCTCAACGACTTTCCCTGCTTTTGTTTCAGATACCCTCTCACCAACTACACATTCGGCACCAAGGAGCCTCTGTATGAGAAGGACAGCTCGGTGGCCGCCAGGTTCCAGCGGATGCGGGAGGAGTTCGACAAGATGGGCATGCGGCGGACGGTGGAGGGCGTTCTCATCGTCCACGAACACAGGCTGCCTCATGTGCTGCTCCTGCAGCTCGGCACGACTTTCTTCAAACTGTGAGTTTCTAATGTTCAGAGGCTCCTGTGCAAACCAGCCCAGGTGGTTTTTGCTGCTCAGTGTCCTGATCGTTTGTTCTCTGCTGCAGACCCGGTGGAGAGTTGAGTCCCGGAGAGGACGAGGTGGAGGGTCTGAAGCGCCTGATGACCGAGGTAACTGCTTCACAGCTCAGTCTGAGCTTCTTATGTTCATTGTGAGGTTTGCATTTATTAACTTTTGACTGTTTGCTAGATCCTCGGGCGGCAGGATGGAGTCAAGCAGGACTGGGTGATCGACGACTGTATCGGTAACTGGTGGCGCCCCAACTTTGAGCCTCCACAGGTTGGTGCACATAGATCAGGGGTCGGCAACCCGCGGCTCTGGAGCTGCATGTGGCTCTTTCATACCTCTGCTGCGGCTCCTTGTGGCTTTGGAAAATAAATAATGAGCATTTAATTTTTTTATTTTTTTTAATTCATTAGTTTTTAAAATGCAATTTTGAATTTGAGGATTATGGTGATCTTATAACATTAAACTAAAACCCGTTTAATTTTTTGTCGCTAAAAATATGCATCACACCCACTGATGTGCGACACCCACTGGCACATGCAGTGTTGCCAACTTGGTGACTTTCTCACTAAATCTGGCGATTTTCCAAAACCTCTTAGCGACTTTTTTTTCCTCAAAGCAACTAGCGACAAATCTAGCGTCTCTTTCTGGTGTTTTGAAGTGAAAACACATATCGTTCTGCAGTTACTGTCCTCAGTGAGCAGCCGTGAGCGCTTTCCGTCTCAAAGCGCTCACAGGCGGTCAGAACTCTGGTCAGCAGTCACAGCTGCAGTCAGCAGGACAACCAGAAGTCATTTTTACTTTGCTGCAGGTGGATAATTTAAGTTCGGCTTTTTATGTCATAAATACGAGGAGGACTCAAATAGACATTGAGTATTTTATTTAAAAAGTAACCTTCAACCCAGAGTCTCTTTTTTTTGGACTTCAAAACGTTTTTGTTGCAGAAATATGATTTTGTTTTCTCCGTAGTAGTGTTGCATATATAGATTTTATAAATGCAACATATTATAGTTTTTTATACATGACATTAACGTAAAAACGATATATGCTATCTGTCTTATCTTCATTTTCGATGTCAAAAGGCTTTTGTGGCTCCTGGTGTTTTCTTTTCTATGGGAAACGGGTCCAAATGGCTCTTTGAGTGTTGAAGGTTGCCGACCCCGACATAGATGACTAGAACAATAACACGTTTTCACGATTTATTCTCTAAAGGAACCATTTTAATACAGAAGAATGTTTCAGACATTTTAACTGAAAGCTGTGTAGCACTGAAAGATTGATTATTAAAATGTTTTAGCAACTTCTGGTCCTGATTTAAAGTAACTAAGGTCTGAAATATGTCCATGAACTCTTTCATGTCTGATTTCTTTCTTCAGAAGCTTTTTATGGATTGGATCATTTATACAAGATTTTAAAACTCAGTCATTGTTACACTTACTGTTGCTTTACAGTAATATGAACATTTTGAAAAATTTGGATGTTGAAAAGGGTGAAAACTGTACCGTACAAATCGGTTCCATTTTCTGCTTCCTAAATCTGAAGTGAAAAAGCCACATTACCAACATGTGTCAGACATGCTGGAGTCTTGTTGCTCACAAAATCCAGGCTGCTGTCTGTGTTATTGTCTGCGTACTGTAATGTAAACTAATCTGAAACCGTTTGTTCCGCAGTACCCTTATATTCCAGCTCACATCACTAAACCGAAGGAACACAAGAAGCTGTTTCTGGTTCAGCTGCAGGAAAAAGGTCTGTGTGTCACTTGTGACATTACTGCACTTTGAAGTTTAGCAGACGAAAAGTAGTAGACAGAAATGTAATCAAAAGGAGTTGAGACTCTTAGATTGAAGCTGCTTCTTGCTCTGAAATCTGTGATCGATGTATTTTGCAGCGCTCTTTGCCGTTCCCAAGAACTATAAACTGGTGGCCGCGCCGTTGTTTGAACTATACGACAATGCTCCTGGATATGGACCAATCATTTCCAGTCTACCACAGCTATTGAGCAGGTAACGCTGAGGTCTTCTGCATTTTTTGTTTTGGTCATTGCATAAAACTTAAACATTGTTTTTCTCTTTAAAAACTGACGGCTAATCAGGTATCATGACAGCGACAGCTGGTCTCAGGGATTTTTCATGCTAAATTACTGACCTGCATAACTTTCATAAAAAATGTAACATTTGGTTTGGCACCAGTTAGCTCAGTAAAAACGCTGATGTGATGGTCCGTCCAAGCTTCAGCTGCCGTGGACAGGACAGTGCTGAGTACAGGAGCCATTTTAGATCCTGAACATGACACAGAAGCCTTTCCAAGTTCAGAAACTGACTGAACCTGCAGCACAGCTTCTTTATACAAGCAAAAGAAGACACATATTGTACACATAGTCTTGCAGAAAACGACTGAATGAAAGCGAAACATTCTTGTTTATATGATGTGATCCAGCTGCACATGAAACAAGAGTTTGTCCGTTTTTTTCAAATTGCTTTGCCCTCTGATGCAGCGGTCACTCATTCAAGTGTGTGGATGTGTTTTATTTTTCAGAATTTTGATGTTAAATTGCTGAAAAGGAGAAACATTTACTGTAGAGATAAAACTAGTACAACAAGAGAATGATGTGACGGAGCTGCAGTAATCCCTCAGAACAGGAAACCAGCAAGAGTCCTGCTGGAACTCTGACACTTACCAGACTGAATTCTGAAAAAATGGATTGGAAAAGACGAAAATGACCACGCTCATGAAGTTTTACGAATTGTTTCTTTTCATAGGTTCAACTTCATCTACAACTAAGTTGAGGGAACAGAAGTGCACGTGGCTGTCTCTGTGAGTGCAGCTCTGTCTGTGTGGTGAACACGACTTCCACATCTGGATCAACTTCCACAAAACAAACATTTGTCATGTCAGCTATATTGACAGTCCACAGGGGTGTTTATACTGTTGTTAGACGAAAAATGAAAATGTCACATCTGGTCTCTTTTTTTCTTTTTTTTTTTTGTTCTCTTCTTCTGTTTATTTTTTTTTAAACTTTGAGAAACAGCTAGCTTTTGTAGTGTGCAGCTCTATTTTCTTGTGTGTTCTGAATCTGATTTTATGTCCCCTCAGAGGAGGCCAGTGTTTGATTAAATGAACTACAACATTGAGTTTCCTTTTGTTTTAACCTGTAACAATGCCGTGTTTTTTTCTTTTTAATAAAGCGGTCTTTTGAGTATGTTTTTATAAAGAGCAGCTGCGTGTGGCTGAATAATGCTTCTGAAGTTTTACTGACACGTTCACGTTAACATGTAGAGGAGATGTGGTGGTGTTGTGTTTGCAGACGACACTCAGAAGTCCAGTCCAGAGAGGTGTTTGTCACGGTTTATGTACTTCAGCAAATGTAAAAGTTAAAATGATGGATACGACATTAAAATGCTAAACTTTAAGGAGATTTAGAACAAGTTAGAAAGACTGAACTGTGAGACGGCTGCAAATTGGCTCAGTGGTTAGCATCGTCGCCTCGCAGCTAGAAGGTCGCCGGTTTGTGTCCCAGTGAGGACACCCGGGATCTTTATGTGTGGAGTTTGCATGTTCTCCCCGTGCAGCGTGGGTTCTCTCCGGGTTCCTCCCACAGTCCAAAAACATGTTGAGGTTAATTGGTGATTCTAAATTGTCTGTAGGTGTGAATGTGAGTGTGCTTGGTTGTCTGTCTCTAAGTGTAGCCCTGTGATAGACTGGTTACCTGTCCAGGTGAACCTGCCTTCACCCTGAATCAGCTGGGATAGACTCCAGCCCCCCATGATCCTAGTGAGGATTAGGTGGTGTATAGATAATGGGTGGATGAACTGAGATGAAGCATTTTTAGCAACGTGTCCATAGGTTTGGGGTTTTAAAAGTAATGGGACAGAAACACACAAAGTCAGACAGTCAACTCTGATCCATGTGATCCATCTCTTTTGTATGTAAACTAATGTTACCACACCCAACATTTAGTGTCCAGTTATGTTTGAACCCTTATAATTTGCACACTGTGTGTAAAAAGGGCTTCATCTCCCAAACTTCTCTTTCTGTACTTTCAAACTAAATGTGCAGAAACACAGGATGAAGAACAAAAACTGTCGGATCTGGACATAATTCTGATGACACAATAATCAAACGCTGCTGTTTTATGTTTTTATTTCTTGTTTTTTACGTGTGACAAAAACAAATCCAGGTGGAGATCTTGTCCTTGTCCGGGGGTCAGTTATCAATTGTAGGAATGTTTCAGCAGAAGTCACTAAAGTAGGAAGCTGAAATGTTAACAGATGAGCAGAATTGGTGTAAAACAACATTAATTCTAAAGCTTGTGCAGCCTTGACCATCAGGACCAGGACAGAAGCTTGTTTAAAATACTCAACCTTGAACTTCACCTCACAGGCAGCTGATTAGAATAAGCTTCATTAATTGTAAATTATTGTGCTTTAACTGAGCACATTCAACATGCACTGCTCTGTGTCAGACTGTAATGGATCCTGTAAACTGAGGAACATTTTCCAGGAATAGCATTGTTTACATAATTTTGTAAAGTCACATGTTCCTGGAGGCCCAGAAGCATTTCTGTGGCCTGTGAAGCACAAAAGTTATGTTTCATACGTGGGCTAATAAAATTCACTTTGTGAATGTGCCTTGCCTGATATTAGGGTCATTGATCCTTTCTCTAAACTGTGTATCCTGTTGTGGGTCACTGGGTGCTGGAGTTTCACACACACACACACACACACACACACACACACACACACACACACACACACTGGGTGGTTTTTATGTTGTATTTTGTTAGTTTATTCAACTCCGATAAGAGGAATAAATCAGAAGATCAGAAGCTTTTTTATTGCCAAGTGAGCTCGCACACACAAGGAGTTTGGTGTGGTGAATGACACTGGTACACAACAATAACAACACAAGATTAAATACAGAAATCTAAGAAATTCTATAAAATATGTAAAAGAAAAGTATTAAAGTACTACATAAATAAAAAGTACCATGAAAAGAGACATAAACCAAGTAATAAATTAGGAAACAGATTAAATTACAATACTACACATGAAGTTGAGGCATTGCACATGTAACGGTCTTTAGTGGTTTACTGACTGTTCATGAGGGATATGGCCTGAGGAAGAAGCTGCTCTGGTGCCGGGATGTTCTGGTGCTTAGAGACCTGAAGCGGCGGGTAGCAGGTCAAAGAGGTGATGACCAGGGTGGAAGGGGTCCGTGAGGATTTTTCCTGCCCTTTTTCTCACACTGGAGGTCCTGGAGGGAGGGCAGGGGGCCACCGATGATCCTCTCAGCAGTCCTGACTGTCCGTTGCAGTCTCCTTATGTCTGATCTGGTAGCAGAACTGAACCAGACAGTCAAAGATGAGCACAGGACAGACTCAGTGACTGCTGAGTAGAACTGTTTCAGCAGCTCCTGTGGCAGGTCGAACTTCCTCAGCTGGTGGAGGAAGTACAGTCTCTGTTGGGCCTTCTTCACCACAGAGTCTATGTAGGTCTCCCATCTCAGGTCCTGGGAGATGGTCGTGCTCAGGAACCCGAAGGACTCCACAGTGGCCACGGTGCTGTTCAGGATGGTGAGGGGGAGGGATGCAGGGGGGTTTCTCCTAAAGTCTACTGTCATCTCCACACCACAGCTATGCTTTAGCTGAACAAACAGCCACATTCTGAGTTTGTTACTATACACATGAACAACACTTAACTCGTCTGCTGTGTGTAATTCCTGATGCATCCACACAATAAGTGCTGCTGAGTCCTTTTCTTCTTTAATGAAGCTGCGTATTTATAGGGTTAATAATCATTAACTGAGAAATATAGGGTAATATCTGGATAAGCCCAGTGCGCTGCTCAAGTATAAAAGGCTTGAAAAGTTTGAAATTCCTAATTTCTGTTCAAAATGGTAAAACATGTAGAGCTGAGTGGAATAAAAACACATCATGAAGCTGGATGGTCTGTATATGTGTGTATAGATATACAGGGCTTAACAAATTAGACACGTGGTCTAATAAATTTGTTAAGCCCTGGACATATAAAACAAACAAACAAAAAATATCCAAGGATTCCCAAGAATTCCTGATTTTAAAAAAAAGCTTTGTTTTTCTGTGTATTATTTTGTGTTGTCATTATTTTCTAATTAAAAAAAAAACCCTAGTTGCTGTGCTGTAGAATATATGTATTCCCAATCCCTCCTAATGTTAAAATAATAATCAAAAATACTCTTACATCCATTTCTGAGACTTAGATTTAACATCAGTGCCATTTCTGTATAGTTCTCCAGAGCTGCCTGACAGTCGGCACTCGGGGCGGAAACCGGCTCATGAAACGTCATCTGTCCGCGACGCTGCTTCACGCACGCTCGTCACAGCAGCGAGTGTTGTTGATAAAAGTTCGCGTTTCTCTGCTGTCACTGCGGGTAGTTTGAGTCATGAGCTCGAAAAGAGCCCAGGACGAGTCCGGCGGCAGCGAGAAGAAGAGGAAGAAGAAGAAGAGCTGCGAGGAAGCGGCGCTGAGTTCATGTGTGGAGGAGAAGCAGCTGCAGGGAGCCGTGAAGGAGGCATGGAGGAGCAGCAGCCCGTACAGCCACGGTGAGCAGGGACAGCGGCTGCTTCATCCAGCTTCAGCACAGCAATGCCTGCTCACCTCCACCTCAGACCAGCACAGAGCTCTGCAGGTGTGAGGGGACTATGTGTAGAAACACTCCTGTTACTATTGGTGTTTACTGGTATCTAATAGGAGTTTATTATACTGGCATAACCCCTTTGTTACTGTCAGCTACACTTGCTGATATAAGCAGACAATATCAGAAACACCTGCCAGTATGAGGCTCTACACAGTGCTATGTACAGATGTTTTAGTGACTCTAGGTGTTTAACTGTGCACATCAAACCAAATTAAACTTTATTGATATAGCACATCTCATACAATGCGCTTTTTTTTGACAAAGTGTGCTGGTTTAATAAAGGTTTCTCTCTCTGGCCTTCAGGACCTATAACTAAAACCTCAGTTTTGTCCTGGTTGAGCTGTAGGAAGTTCACTGCCATCCATGACTTGATGTCTATTGGCCCTGTGTGATCAGGAGACACGACAACATACCGCTGTGTGTCACCATACCTGCACAATCTGTACACCTGTCTCACTTAAATACCACTATAATTTGTTTTAATGACTTATGGCTTGTTTTCTGTTTCGGTGTGTAACTGAGCACCTCGAATCCTTACAGAACTAATAGAGCTAAAAGGAATCATTATCAAATTCAGGTTGATTTAAATTCAGGCCCAGTACCCATGAAAGGCGGCAGTATTGAAATACAACACTGTCCTTTCATTCTGCCGCTACATTTTGTTTTTATTCATCTTGTAACACCGACTGTTATGTTTGATTTGCGGTTTTCTCCTTGTCAGTGTGTATCAAAACACCAAGTCAGATATCTGGTGTGTGAAAACCTGTTTCACCATGAAACAGATCCATCCATCCATCCGTTATCTATACACTGCCTAATCCTCACTAGGGTCGCGGGGGGGCTGGAGCCAAATGAAACAGATTCTGATTTTAAATCTGAGATAAGAACACATCAATATGACAAAAGCACAGACTGGTGTAAGCTTTATTGTACTTTTTTTAATGCACATAGCATTCAGTCTAGTGTTACAGTGTTTCAAAATGAATATATTGATGTATCTGGGCTGCACGGTGGTTCAGTGGTTAGCACAGTTGCCTCGCAGAAGATCTCTGGTTTGCATCCTGGTTACGACGCCTGGGAGTTTGCATGTTCTCCCCGTGCAGCGTGGGTTCTCTCCAGGTTCTCTGGCTTCCTCCCACGGTCCAAAACCATACTGAGGTTAATTGGTAATTCTAAATTGTCCGGAGGTGTGAATGTGAGTGTACTTGGTTGTTTGTCTCGCTGTGTAGCCCTGCGATAGATTGGATGGATGGATGATGTATCTATTAATTCTTGTGTTGATGTGTTGTTTTGCATAGGGATTTTTTATTTTAATTTTTTATTTTAAAAACGAAGTAAGAAGTAGTTAATAAATTAATAGATAAAATAACCATATAAACGGTAGGACCTTGCTTAGTATTGCCAGAAAACAGTCCTGTTCACTGTTTTTGAATTATTTACCTCATTTATTGAACACTTCCAGAGATATTCAAAGAATAGGACAATACAAAAAACAGTAGACAATTATCATAACAGCCAACCTTTCCTAGTCTGTAGAGAGATCAGACCAATCAGTGGGGTCATTTATTTGTTTCTGATTTTGCCATTTGTTTTGATGAAATGTGTAGGTATTATATTTCATATTCTGTAATGAACATCTGCCATGTTTGCCAGGTCAGTATAATATTTTACTTTTGTTGTTTTCCTTTTTCTAAAATGTGCACTTTAGGTTTCAAAGCTGCAGCTTCACCCGGTACTCTCCTTTAGTTTGTGCGTCAGAGCGTTTGCATAAAACCTGTTGTAAATATTGTGTGCGTAATTGTCGTGCAGGGGATCTGGAGCTGGACTGCCACCCTTTCCCTCACTGCATCATCAAGAACTTCCTCAGCAGCGAAACCTTCGTAGAAAACCTGCAGAGAGAGCTGCTGGGACTCAACTTCCACGAGAAGTCAAATGACCTCTACAAGTTTAAACAGGTGATCATCAAACCGATCTTCTTGCTAATTTATTCCACGTGGGTTGTGTTGGTGTCTTATTATCTTTTTTTAATGTTATTTCCATACAGTCAGATGACCTGAGGAAGAGAACAGAGCCACACATCGCAGGACTGAGGTGATAAAACACTTTGTATTTATGATTTGGGTGTGTGACAGACGTAATATATGATGTGGGTGTGAGTTACTGAGTAACAACACAGGATGAGCTACAAGTGAAATAAAATGTTTTGAAGAGAAGTAGTTCATTTAATCAGATGGGACACAAGCTGCAGAGGTTGCTAAAATCAGATGCCTTATGTTTATGCAAATCTTTCTGTTGTTTTGGGTTTTTCCTGGATCAGAACGGGCCTTTAGGGGCTCACAACAGTAAGATCAGTCTGTGTGCACTAAAGGCATTGAGTCTGACTGAAATCTCTACCTTTCTGAGTTATTTCTAACCATTTGGTAAACAACAAGGTCTATGATGCTTTAATAAATGAAACCTCATAAGCAAAACTGGTGCAAACTTTTTTTTTTTTTAATTCCTCAAATCTTATCATCATTATTCTTTTGTTGTCTGAAACCTCTTTGTGGGTCACCGAAATTTCTCTATGCAGGAAAAAACCTGTTATTAATGTTTTATTCAAGAGCTGGGACTGAACCACCAACCCAGCAATGAATAACCTATTAATCTGTGCAGCTCCACCCTCTGACCCACAACTCATCCCTGATACCAGACACATGAACCTACTTCTATTAAAAGCACATCTGTACGATGGAATCAATATTTCCCACCCGACGAATGACCTCGCATCATGTTGTGTTGTGTTGTAAACAAAGCAGAAACATGGCGATCGTCCCTTTTCTGTTTTATTCATGAATCTTTCTTCCCCGTTCTGCCAGATTTGAGTGTTTTAAGCAGCCTCTCAAAACAAAATCTTTATACAAGCCTTTTTATAGACCTTCATCCTCGTCTTGTGTTCTGGTTGGTCTGTACATCAGCGTAATGTAGGGCTTTCAACATTGGTTTATTCTTTCTTTTTCAATAAATAGATTAGTTGTTTGGTCTATAAAAAGCACAAGAGGATGTCCTTAAATGTCTTGTTTTCTTCACAACCCAAAGATGTTCAGTTCAGTGTCACAGAGGCATTATTGACAACAGTAAATAGAAAACAGATACTATGCACAGCTGGAATCACTTTCGGTTTTTGCTTCCTTTCATTTCTTTTTGAAAATAAATAAAAACCGGTTTAATCAATCCTCAAAATAGTTGCTGATGAACCTAATAGTTAACAACAAATGGATTAATTAAACGATTATTACAGCACCACTGTGTTACATTTTCTATTTTATTCTTACTCTATTATTTTTTTGTGTGAAGCCTTTCATATCTGCATGTTTCAATAGGTGCTATATGAGTAAAGCTTTATGTACTCGTGTTAGTGTTGGTTGCATTCGTTGAGCCTCCTCCAGAGTCGCGGTTTTCTGTTTTCATGCTCACTGACGACATTTAATAAACTAAAACCATGTCAGTAATTACAGCTACGTTCTTGAATCATATTTTACTTGTAGTGTCCTATGATAAAGCAATCTGTAAAAGCCCTGCGATAAACTCTGCCTTTAAGGAGTTTATATCGTTTCTATCGAAGCACCTCTCAAGATGAAGTGTTTCCGGAGAACACTAGTTATGACCTCAGTGCTAAAACATGTTGTTGAGTTACCACAATAAAAACTGAGCAATACACATTAAAGAAGCGTTTATGGCAGATTTGTTGCTTTGGATTAGATTAGATGGTAGAAGTGATATGTGACGAGATCTCACTTTAAACCACTTTTGCTTTAACCCGTCCTGAGAGAACCGGTCCAGTTGTTAGAACAGTTGCTTGTTTTACTTTTGCTCATTGCTGATCTCGCTGCAGCAAGTGCTTATAATATAGTATTTATTATCAGTG